TTAGTGTTGTATACACGTTAAGGGAAGCTTGTTTCCCTTGGTTGTACGAAGGAAAGGTATTTTCCTTCGGGTTGAAGTCTTGGAGTGCGGTATCTCCGAGCAAGTGTTGTTGAGGCTCGTGGGACTCGAGTTCTCAGGTTGTAACGGTTTGTTAAGCACCCGTAAGCTTAACGGAAGTAGTGTAGCTCGAGAGAGTCTCTCGAGAGACTGGATTAGCCACACGTTGTGGTGAACCAGTATAAATCTTGGTGTGCTCCCTTTACGCTTTCTACGCTCTTTATTTTTCACATTCTTAATTTTTTATTCTTGCGATTTCTACGATCAAACGCTATTCACCCCCCCTCTAGCGTTGGTCACTTATTCTAACAGAAGATAGTATAGATTTGTATGTATTTGTTTGATTTATGATGCAATACTTGAGGGGGAACTAGCCTTGTATGATGCATATCTCCTAATGGGTTTGTCATTATCAAAAAGGGGGAAATTGTTGGACAATGTGCTATCATGAATATATATTTTTGCAATGTCCTTTGCCCATTGTCTTTTAGGTTTTGATAATGACAAAAGGGTGACAAAACATCATCATCATATTGTGTATCAAGGCTAAGAATCAAAGCTACAACAAGTTCATATCCGTCCGTGAAGAAGGGACTTAAGCATCGGTGGAAGGAACGAGACCGAAGAGGTTGTTTCCTTAGTTGGGTAGTGTTTTAGGTCTTAGATTTTGTTTTAAAAAGTATGGCATCTCTAAGGTTCATTCCTTTATCATCATACCTTTAAAACACATTTTAAATCAGCCTTTGTGTGGGGAAGATGCCTTTCTATTCGAATAATCTTTAGTTTATTCAAATAAGTCGTGATCTTCCCTGTGACTGAAATTAACCTGTTTTATCGAATAAATCACCATTTATTTGAATAAGTCCTGGTTTTTCAACCTGATTTATTCGAATAAATCACCATTTATTCGAATAGGAACTGGTTTTTCAAGCCACGCGATTGATCCAAACTATTCGAATAGTTCTTGAGTTATTCGAACAAGTCGACAGTTTCAACTACCAAACGGCTAGTTTTTTGAATGCTTTTCATCCCTATCCACTCCCTAACTTCTATAAACTACATACTTTCGTGATTTTCTTTACCAGAGCACTTAGATTACTTTGAAGAACATATCCTTTGAATATCCAAAGAGATTCTACTCAATCCCCTCCTTATATCCAAGCAAGGCAATTGTTTTGATTGCTAAATCATTTCTTGCTTGCGTTTTTCCTCATTTCTTGAGTCTTTGAGAGATATTGCCATATTCTAAAGGACTTCATTGTATTTGCAACAATCTACTCCGTGTTGGGAGAATTACTCGGTTGCGGTTTGTTTTCTTACTTTATTGTAAGGGATTTGTATTCTTGGTGTTGGGACTACACCAAGTGGTAGAAATCCTAACGGTTTGTGAAATCAAACGTTAGGTGGAAGAAATCCTAAGTTTTGTGAAATCAAAACTTCGGTGGTAAGATAAGAGGCTTGTGAAATCAAGTTCTCGAGTTGTATTCGGATTGTCAAACTCAGTTAAGTTTGACGGGTTAGTGAAGCCCTGGGCACGATTGCTTCGGGGACTGGATGTAGGCATTTAGGCCGAACCAGTATATATCGTGTGTGCATTGCTCTTATCCTTCACTTTATTTTGTTTGTGGTGCATTGTTTTTATTGAATATTCGTGAAGAACGTTTCCGCGCAAAAAAAACTGGTCTTTTGGGCAACACCTCTATTCACCCCCCCTCTAGAAGTGTGCGAGGCGTCTAACAAGTGGTATCAGAGCGAGGGATTTTCAAAGCTTTACCGCTGAAAATTTAAAAATATCATGGCCGGAAGAACATTTCAACCCGGAGTTGCCGAAGGACAATCCACGACAAGGCCACCACTCTTCGACGGCACAAATTATGCTTATTGGAAAGAAAGGATGAGAATATTCATCCAATCAAATGATTATGATTCTTGGATGGTGATCAAGCATGGAGAGACGGTTCCCACGAAGATTGTTGACGGGGTTCTTGTTCCAAAGTTAGAGACCAAATATACCTCAAATGACATGAAGAAGATGCAACTAAGTGCAAGGGCCATCAACTTTCTATATTGTGCCATGAACCCGGATGACTATCGAAAAATATCAAGGTGCAAGACGGCCAATGAGATGTGGAATAAATTAGAGGTCACATATGAAAGAACAAGTCAAGTGAAGGACTCAAAGATCGACTTACTCACCCATGAGTATGAGCTTTTCATGATGATGGAAAATGAAACAATAGATGGCATGTTTGAGAGATTTTCAACTATCGTCTCAAATTTGGATACACTTGGGAAGCATTATGAGGATCATGTTCTCGTTCCAAAAATCCTTCGAAGTCTCACACCGGAGTGGAAGTCTACGGTCAACCCTATCAAAGAAGGCCGAGATTACAATACATTGACATATGACGCACTTCGAGGTTAACTACTCACTTATGAAATGTCTAACTTTTCTAGTGCAGCGGAGATCAAAAGGGATCAAAATCTATCATTCAAAGGAGTTGCACACAATGCTTCATCGTCAAAATATGTCGAGACAAGCGGCTCTGGAGAAAGTGACATTCTCGAGTTATTTAATGACTTCTTGCAAAATGAGCTTGAGCAATTGAATGAGAGTACAAACCCTACTTGCTATGGATGTGGGAGAGCGTGGACATATCAAGGGTCATTGCCCTAATCGAAAATTCAAGAAGTCCAAACGCCGAAAGCAATCCAACTCTAGCTCCTCTTCCTCATCCGATGATGAAGTAGCCATTTGTCTTATGGCTCAAAGTGAATCCGAAGAGGTAAGTTCTTCTAACGATCCTTTTAGTTTTGAAGAATTACAAGAAGCATTTGGTGATTTATTTAAAGAATTTAAGAATGTCTCAACTATCACCAAAGATTTGGAATATAAATGATGGGCCGATACCCAACGGGCGGCCCAAATGAACCATTTAAATAACTTCGGGTCAAAGCTTTGGGAATACCTAGGTTTGGGCCAGCCCATGGAGCTAAGCCTGGTCAATTCCAGTCCAAGAACAGCTGGCAGAGTCAATCCTGAGGAGGGAACCGAACTGAATGACGGAGACAAAGCCGGAAAAAGAGGATCGCGCCGTTGACGGGAGAGATTCCATTGATTATGCATTACCTTAATTGTCTAGAGCCCATGTATAAATAGAGGAGATCTGAAAGGGGAAAACCCAAGCAAAATTAAGCTAATAATACACACCCAATTCTCGAATTCGGATTGTTAATTCTGTTCTTATGATCCGTTCTCTGAATCGGATCATTTGGTGGATTTATTGTCCATCAAATTGGTGCTCTCATTGAGAGTTCGAGAATCATATCAGAGGAAACCTTCCATAGTGACGATGGTGCAAACACGCAGCAACGCCAACACAGGTACCGGAGCTCCCCACTAGGGAGAAAACAGCGCCACTGGAGGCCGGCACTCCCCTATCACCTTGGTGGAGGCAGAAGCCCTCATCTAGAGGGTCGGAATTACGGCTGAGCAGTTCAAGGAGGTGCTGGCGGCACTGACGCCCAACCGTGAGGTTTTGGTGGAAGATGTGGCTGGAGGACCCACTGGCGGGAAGGCTGGACCTGCGGGCTCCCAGGGGAAAAAGAAGAAAGTGAGGCGGTCCCAGAAAAAGAAGGCGACCAAGCCTAATCGGAAGGCCAGGATGGAGGACGCACTGTCCAGGTTGGACGAGGAAGATGAGTCATCCTCCTTCGAGCGGGCATCTGCTTTTGATCGCTTGGGAGACCCAAAGTCGAAGAAGCCCCGAACCTGCGCGTTCGATCAGCTGCAAGACACTCGGCCGGCTTGCAAGGGCGACCTAAGGGAGACGCTCAAGGAAAGGAGAGGAGAATCCACGGCGACCTCCAAGGTCGGCTCCGAGGAGCGACGAAAGGCGGTCGAGGACAAGGAAGCAGCTGACCTGTGGAGGATGTATGAGCAATTGGAGAAGCGGCTAGACACCCAAAACCCCTACCGCCAGGCGGTTTTTAGCGAGGTAACGCCCTTCTCCAGAAGGATAATGTCCTGCCCTCTCCCGGATAACTTTAAGACCCCACAAATCAAGGCGTACAACGGTACGACCGATCCCCAAGACCACCTCGCTCGCTTTGGTGCAAACGTGGTCATGTACGCGTACCCGGAAGAAATCAAGTGCTGATGCTTCTTGGCGACGCTGGAAGGGCAGGCTTGTGAGTGGTTTCATAAGTTGCCCAAGAGATCAATAGAAAAGTGGAGCGACCTAGCCCACAAGTTTTTGGAGCACTTCTCGTCCAGCCGGAGGCAAAAGCTCCCCTTATCGCATCTGCTCAATGTGAAGATCCGGAAGGGAGAGCAGCTCCGGGAATTCATTAACAGGTGGGAGAAGGAGGCCAGGGACGTCCAAGGGGCGGACGACCAGGCCCTGATCGCCATGCTCCAAGCTGCACTCCCCCAAGGGGATGTGCGCAATGAGCTGCGACGGAATCCACTCTCAACCTACCAGGAGATGCTGGCCAGGGCGAAATACCTGGCGTTAGAAGAAGAAGATGATGAGCCACCCGTCCGAAAGGAGAAGAAGAGTGGGCCACCGGTGGCAGAAGGAAAGAAAAGGAAAGACTACGGTAAGGGGCCGAACCCAACCAGGTATCACGCAAGCAGACACCCTGTTCATGCGGTGCTGTCTTTGCCTGCCCCTCCTCAGAGCCGGGAAAGCTATGGCGTGCAAGACGCGCCCAAATATTGCGAGTACCACCGTAACAGCACCCACAACACATCGGAGTGCGTTACGTTGAAGAAGGAGATGGATCAGTTGATCGCCAGGGGGCCGCCTCCTCGGTCGGAGCGACCCTCATCAAACAACCAGACATGGAGGAGACCAGCAGCCCCCGCTGCAGCGATCACGGCAGGAGAAGGGCAGGAGGACGGACGGCGACATCTGGGGAGAGATTGTGACGACCTAGATGAAGAAGAAAGACAGGACCGTCGACATCTAGGGTGTCGATTCATCATGGGAGGTAACACCGGAGGGGATTCGGTGTCCTCACGGAAGAAATGGAAAAATATGGTACATCTGGCCGAGGTACAAAGGCCATCGCTACCCAAACGGAAGAAGAAGGAACCTCTGGTTTTCACGAACGAGGACTATCCACCAGTCCTCAGCCCCCACAGGGACGCGCTGGTGATAAAGGTGGAGATCAATAATGTGGTCGTCCATTGTACATTGGTCAATACTGGCAGTTCGGTCAATGTTATGTACAGCAACACCTTTAAGGGGTTGGGGTTGTCTCGAAGCGACCTGAAGCCGATCCACATGCCACTGTCAGGGTTCACAGGAGATACCATTGAAGCCGAAGGGACTATCACGGTGAAGGCTGGGGTAGGAGATGGCACCCACCGACTCTGGCTCGACATGGAATTCATGGTGGTGCAGCTCGATTGCGCACACCATCTGATTCTGGGGCGACCAGGGTTGGAGGACCTGGAGTGCGTAATCTCCCCTGCCCATTTGTGCTTGAAGTTCAACACCCCCACAGGGGTGGGAGTGACAAAAGGGAACCAAAGCTTGTCTCGATCGTGTTACGTTAGGGCGACCAAAAGCCAGGCACGGGTCGACGAGAATGTGAGCACGATCTGTGCTGCAATCTAGAAGGAAGAGGGGCAACCTCGAGCTGAGCCAGCGGACGAACTTGAAGAAGTCACCTTGGATCCAGCCAGGCCAGAGCAGAAGGTGAAGGTAGGTAAGACTTTACCGCCTAGGTTAAAGGAGCAACTGCTGGAGGTCCTTCAAGCATTCAAAGTGCTATTCGCTTGGGGCCAAGAGGACATGCCGGGGGTCGACCCAAAGATCATCTGCCATAGGTTGGCAGTAGACCCGGCCTACAAGCCAGTCAAGCAGAAGAAACGTTTCCTTTCTTCAGAGCGAAGAGAGTTCGTCAGCAAGCAGGTGACAACCCTGCAGTCCATTGGGCACATCTGGGAAGTCCGTTACCCGGAATGGTTGGCAAATGTAGTCCTCGCACCTAAAGGGAATACCTGGCGGATGTGCGTCGATTACACCAACCTAAACAAAGCTTGCCCGATGGATCCTTTCCTTCTCCCCAACATCGATCAATTGGTTGATGAGACGGCAGGGTGTGAATTGATGAGTTTTATGGATGCATTCAGTGGATACCACCAGATCAAGATGGCTGCAGCGGATGAAGAGAAGACCGCATTCATCACCCCCAATGGGGTGTACTGCTACAAGGTGATGCCCTTTGGTTTAAAGAATGCCGGAGCGACCTATGCACGGATGGTCAACAAACTGTTTGCGCCGGTATTGGGGAAATGTATGGAGGCGTATGTAGACGATATGATCGTCAAGTCCAAGCAGATGGGGTTCCATGCCCAAGATCTGGAGAAGTTTTTAACATTATGAAGAAGTTCCAGCTCCGCCTTAACCCCAAGAAGTGTACATTCGGGGTTCAGGGGGGTAAGTTTCTAGCACATATGGTCAGTCAAAGAGGGATTGAGCCCAATCCAGAGAAGGTAAAGGCGATCTTAGAGATGGAACCCCCCCAGAATGTGAAGGAGGTCCAGCAGCTCACTGGCAGGATCGCTGCTCTCAGTCGCTTCTTATCGAAGATAGCTGATCGAGCGGCACCTTTCTTTGAGACCATCAAGAAGAGCAGAGGGTTTGTCTGGACCGAGGAATGCCAACGGTCCTTCGAAGGGTTGAAGGCATACATCCTTTCCCCACTGGTGCTTTCGAAGCCAGAGTCTGGGGAGACCCTATTCCTGTAGTTAGGAATTTCTCCTCGAGCTGTGAGCTTTGTACTTGTGAGGGAGGAGGAGGGCGTGCAGCGACCTGTGTACTATGTGGCCCGGGTGTTACGGGGGGCTGAGTTAAGATATACGAACATGGAAAAAACCATCTTCGCAGTGGTATGCATGATGAAGAAACTCACCCCGTATTTTCAAGCTCACCCGATCCACGTGTTATCTCAAACTCCAATCGGAACACTCCTTCAAAGCCCAAATGCCCTGTCGCGAGTCTGCAAGTGGGGAGTATTCTTAGGGTCTTTTCAGATAGAGTTCAAGCCGCGACCGGCGATAAAGGGGCAGGCCTTGGCGGATTTCGTGGTGGAATGCACTGCGAGGGAAGAGGAGTCCAATGGAGAGAAACCCGAAGGAAACTGGTGGACTGTATACACTGATGGCTCGTCCGTGACTGATGCTTCGGGGGGAGGTTTCGTGGCAATATCACCGGAAGGGTTCAAAGCATACTACTCCGTGGGGTTCCGGTTCAAGGTCTCAAACAATGAGGCTGAATATGAGGCGCTGCTTTGCGGTTTGAGGCTGGCAGCATCATTAAAAGCTGTACGGATCCAAGTCCGATGCGACTCCAAATTAATAGTAGGCCATGTCACAGGAGAATTTGAGGCCAAGGATGAACGAATGAAGAAGTACAGGGACACTGCCCTGGAGTTACTAAAAGCATTCGGGGCGTACCAGATAGAGCAGGTCCCTCGAGAAGAGAATGCCGAGGCGGACATCCTGTCGAAGCTTGGTCCGGATTCCCCAGATCATATCAAGGCAATGACCTAGGAAGAAGAGTTGCTCGAGCCAAGTATCAGTCCCGGACAAGTACAGGTCGTTACACTCAAAGAGCCAGATTGGATCGATGAAATTGCTGCCTACCGACCCAATCACAGCAAAGGTGGTGAAACGACGTGCACCCAGCTACACGCTGGAGTGTGGTCGGCTGTACAAGCGGTCGTACAACGGTACATTATTGAGATGCCTAAGAAGGGACAAGGCGCAGAAGTTAATGGAGGAAATCCATGAAGGGATATGCTCAGTACACCAGGGAGCCTTCACAATGTCTAGAAAAGTGACTCTGCAAGGGTACTTCTGGCCAACGATTACCAGAGGTTGCGCAGAATATGTGCGTAAATGCAAGGTTTGTGAGGAGTTTCAAAGGGTGCCAGGGCGACCAGCGACGAATTATACCCCGATCAGCACGACGATTCCCTTTTCTCGGTGGGGTATTGATCTGGTTGGCATTTTGCCCAGGGGAACAGGGAACAACACGTACCTGGTGGTCGCAATCGACTACTTTACCAAGTGGGTCGAGGCTGCCCCTGTGCCGACTATCACCGAAGAGCAGATGAGGAAGTTCGTATCCAAGCAAATTTTGTGCCGGTTCGGGGTACCCCAGCAGATCATCACCGACAATGGAACCCAGTTTGAGGCTAGAGGGTTCAATGAGTTTCTAGAGAGCTGGGGTATAAAACACAGCTATGCAGCGGTCGGGTACCCCCAGACCAATGGGCAGGTTGAGAACACCAACCGTACCATTGTGGATGGCTTGAAGAAGAGGATAACGGAATGCAAAAGCGCTTGGGTGGAGGAATTGCCTTACATCTTGTGGACCTATAGAACTACTCCAAGGAAGGCTACAGGTGAAACTCCGTTCTCGCTCAAATATGGGTTTGAAACAAGGGCCCCAGCAGAGACCTCATTGCTAAGTTATAGAGTGGAGACATTTGACGCCCAGGAAAATGAGGAAAACTTAAGGGCTGAGCTGCACCTCATAGATGAGTGAAGAGAAAGGGCGTACATACGAGCGGAGAATTACCGCCGGCAGGTCAAGTCGTATCATGACCAATGGGTACGACCAAGGCAGCTCAGAGTAGGCGACTGGGTCCTTAGAAAAAGGGAGGTTAGTCGGCCGACCGATGGAGGGAAGTTCGCTAAGAGTTTCGAAGGGCCATACATCATAAAGGAGGCGTTGGCTGATGGAACGTTTAAATTCCAAACACTGTTAGCCACTTGTCAGGTGACAACAAATTAACCTATTCCCCAATTACTACACACTTATAAAAATGGTAGCAAAGTGGTAAGTAGGGTCATTTTTCCACAGGGAGATTTGTCTTCTATTAATTCTTCTCTTGATTTATTGCTCAGTTTCCACAACACACACACGCAAGGGGGGGGTTGTTCATAAGATGCTAAAACTACGTAATGAAAACAGATTCTAACAGAAACAGTGAGAACAGATCAAAGAAGGAAAGAGAAGTTCAGGTAAAAGTTTGTGGTTATCAATTTGAGTGAACAAACTTGTCTGGTGGAATTAGGAACAGTTGATCAGATCAAAGTAAAAAAATCAGATTCTCA